AATACTGGAAAACCAAATGCAACAGCACATCTAAAAGCTTACCAATCACTATCAAGTTGGCTTCATCTCGGGAATGCAAGGCTGGTTCAACATACGCAAGTCTGTAAATGTAATCCACCACATAAACAGAACCAAAGACAAAAACCACATGATTATCTCAATAGATGCAGAGAGAGCCTTTGATAAAATTCAACAGCCCTTTATGCTTAAAACTCTCAATAAACTAGGTATTGATGAAACATATTTCAAAACAATAAAAGCTATCTATGACAAACCCACAGCCAATATCATACTAAATGGGCAAAAATGGGAAGCATTCCCTTTGAAATCTGGCACAAGACAAGGATGCCCTCTCTCACCATTCCTACTAAACATAGTATTGGAAGTTCTAGCCAGAGCAATCTGGCAAGAAAAAGAAATGCAGGATATTCAATTAGGAAAAGAGGAAGTCAAATTGTCTCTATTTGATCATATATTTATATACGATCTATATGATTGTATATTTAGAAGACCCCATCATCTCAGCCCAAAATCTCAAGATGATAAGCAACTTCAGCAAAGTCTCAGGATACAAAATCAATGTGCAAAAATCACAAGCATTCCTATACACCAATAACAGACAGAGAACCAAATCATGAGCAAACTTTCATTCACAATTGCTACAAAGAGAATAAAATACCTAGGAATACAACAAACAAAGGGCATAAAAGACCTCTTCAAGAAGAATTACAAACCATGGCTCAAGGAAATAAGAGAGGACACAATCAGATGGAAAAATATTCCACGCTCAAGGTTAGGAAGATTCAATATTGTGAAAATGCCCATAGTGCCCAAAGTAATTTATAGATTCAATGCTATCCCCATCAAGCCACCATTGACCTTCTTCGCAGAACTGGAAAAAACCACCTTAAACTTCATATGGAACCAACAAAGAGCCTGCATAGCCAAGACAATCCTAAGCAAAAAGAACAAGGCTGGAGGCATCATGCTACCTGACTTAAAAATATAATATAATGCTACAGTACTCTAAACAACATAGTACTGGTACCAAAACAGAGATATAGAAGAACAGAACAGAACAGAGGCCTCAGAAGTAACACCATACACCTACAGCCTTCTGATCTTTGACAAATCTGACAAAAGAAGCAATGAGGAAAGTATAAGGCCGGCTGCCTTGCAGAGGGTTGAACGGACACATCCATCTCTCTCAGCGCCTGGTAACTGCGTCATCACCCAAGTTTGTTATCTGACCTTGCCGCAAGGCTTCCCCACACCCGCCTCCGCATACCAGACCCAAGCCCACATTCAGCACTAAATTATGCATTCAACCCCCAGCCTGCTGTTAATAAACTTTGCAGGAAAAATTTTTTAAAGAAGCTCTATCAGATCCTGCCCGGTAGCAGTCTGCTCTGTATACCCCTGGAAGGCCCGCTTACCCAAGGTCCCGCCCACCTACCCATAACCACTAGCTCCAGGCATTTCCTGCTTCTTAATAGCCAATAAGATTGCCTTCACTTTGTTTCCCCAACAGCCAATCAAAGCCCACTTACCCAAAGTCCCGCCTGCCTACCAACGGCAACTAGTTTCAGGCACTTCCTGCTCCCTGACAGCCAATAAAATTGCCTTTGCTTTGTTTCCCCAATAGCCAATCAATCGCCTTCCCTTCCCATAAAACCCCATGACCTAAACAGCTGGTCGTGACTTCTCTGGCCCATCCTTGGACCACAGAACCTCGCCCGGGAGCTGAAAAAATTGGCTTCTCATTTTCTCATACGTGCCTCAGCTTCCTCATTTTACATTGGCACTATACCTTGCAGAAAGGATTCCCCATTTAATAAATAGTGTTGGGAAAGCTGGCTAGCCATGTACAGAAAGCAGAAACTGGATCCATTCCTTACACATTACACAAAATTAACTCCAGATGGATTAAAGATTTAAACATAAGATCTAACACTATAAAAACCCTAGAAGAAAACACAGGCAATACCATTTAGGACATAGGCATAGTCAAGGACTTCATGACTAAAACACCAAAAGCAATGGCAACAAAAGCCAAAATAGACAAATGGGATCTAATTAAACTTGAGAGCTTCCACACAGCAAAATAAACAATCATCAAAGTGAACAAGCAACCAACAGAATGAGAAAAAATTTTTGCAAGCTACCCATCTAACAAAGGGCTAATATTTAGAATCTACAAAGACCTAAAACAAATTTACAAGGAAAAAAACAAAAAACCTCATCAAAAAGTGGGTGAAGAATAGGAAGAGGCACTTTTCAAAAGAAGACACTTATGCGGCCAACAAATATATGAAAAAATGCTCATCATCACTGATCATTAGAGAAATGCAAATCAAAACCACATTGAAATACCATCTCATGCCAGTTAGAATGGTAATCATTAAAAAATCTAGAGACAACAGATGGTGGAGAGGATGTGGAGAAATAGGAATGCTTTACACAGTTGGTGGGAGTGAAAATTAGTGCAACCATGTGGAAGACAGTGTGGCGATTCTTAAAGGATCTAGACATAGAAATACTATTTGACCCAGCAATCGCATTACTGTGTATATACCCAAAGGCTCATAAATCGTTCTACTATAAAGACACATGCACACGTATGCTCATTATGACACTGTTTCCAATAGCAAAGACCTGGAACCAACCCAAATGCCCATCAAGGATAGACTGGATAAAGCAAATGTGGCACATAAACACCATAGAATACTATGAAGCCATAAAAAAGGATGAGTTCATGTCCTTTGCAGGGTCATGGATGAATCGAAACCATCATTCTCAGCAAACTGACCCAAGAACAGAAAACCAAACAGCACATGTTCTCACTCATAAGTGGGTGTTGAACAATGAGAACACATGGACACAGGGAAGGGAACATCACACACTGGGGTCTGCTGGGGGTTGGGGGGGTAGGGGAGCAATAGCAGGGGATGGGGAGGTTGGGGAGGGATAACATTAGGAGAAATACGTAACGTAGGTAATGGGGGAAAGGATGCAGTAAACCACCATGACATGTGTATACTTATGTAACAATCCTGCAAGACCTGCACATATACCCCAGAACTTAAAAAAAAAAAAAAAAAAAAAAGGCTTTACACAGTCTTTGGCTGTCTTGCCCATGTGTGAGGATGCAGCAAGGAGGACCTCAATAGATCAAATGCCGTCTCCTTGATTTGGGCCTTCCCAGTCTCAAGAGTGGTGAGGAATAAATTTCTGTTCTTCATAATTTAAAAAAATGAAAAGAAATATGTAAACATTAAAATTATGATTTTGAATACTATGTAGAAATATAAAATGTTGATGGCATAAGGTTAATGGAAACAAATGAAGAAAATTTTACTATGCAATTATATAGCATATGTAGTTCAAAAGATTAGCAGTTAAGTTATAGAAGTAAATATTATGTTGGATGCTGGAATTATGAACAGTCCTCTTCTAACATTTTAGCAATATTAACTGCTCTTAAGATTTATTGAGAAAAGAACCTACTTTGTTTTTTCACAGATTTATTGCTGGAAAGGTAAATCTTTTGTTGTTCTCAGCACTGTCATAAGAAAAATTTGCATTTTGTTTGCTAAGGAAATAACTTAATTCCAATTTTAGCTAGTGATACTAAGTTCTGTTCAAATTTCCTTTCTATACAGAGGGAAAAACCTTGAAGAAAACTAGAAAATCTCACTTCACCTTTGTGAGATGTCTTCCAGTTGAAGGCAAACCCAACGTATCATCAGCACCCTAAAATACAGCATTTCTCCCTGTTCACTTAACTATACAGAAAGAAAAATAAAACCATGAAGACTAGGGAGCTAAAATGTATGTGAAATTATTAGAGCATCCGAATGTCAAGGAAAATAGTCACAAGTTGTTCTCTGAGCTAAAGTACTTATGAGACCAGCTACAAGGAGCTACAAAAACTTCTGATGTTGCATTCAACTAAAGCTCCAGAGACACTTTTATAGACTAAGAAAGATTTTGGCAATAAATTGTAAAGAATAACTACATTAATTCAGAAAAACAAGTCACTGAATCGTAGATATGCCTAGGGGTTTCTTATTCTTATGCACCGATGATAAACATATTCCCTCATCTTTTAGGCATAACAACAAAATTTTAAAAATTAATTTAGCTTTGTCATTGTTAAATATACCTGTAAATTAAAAAGTCAAAAAATTCTACGATGATCTTTAGAAACAGTATTCTTTTTACCCTCATTTTCTCTCACTTGAGGATTTATTTTTAGCTAAATCTTTTTATATTTAACCTCTTTATCTCTAAATCATTGCTCATAGTGAGATTTTAAAATTTTACTTCCAGTTTTAGGCACAACCAAGTGAGTAAATAATGTCCTCCGGTCACCTCTCACACACACATTTGCCAAGCCCCAACCTCTGAATTTAGTTAAGATAAATATTCTATCAGTTTTACTTCACTATATTCATGATAGTCACAGCTGAACTGTTATCTATCATGATTATATTTTCTTTCTTACACAATATTTTGTTTTCCCTTTTTTTTTTCTCATTTGCTTAGCTTTCTATGTACTTACCATTGATTTAACCCCTTTAGTCTTGCCAAAATGTGTAAACTTCTCCTCATTACTCGGAAACAATTAGTTATTCCATGGCTTTCATTTTTAAAACAAGTGTCTTCCAGAACAACTTGACCTGCATTTGAATGGTTGTTCTCTAAGTCTGATGCAATATTCTTTTCTTAGGAAGTTCTCTCACTGGTATTTTGGGCACTTTTTTTGTCCTCTTCTGCGTTGGAGTTCTGTATTTTGAATGTCACCTCTTTCCCTGGTTATAAATAGAAATTCTAGATAGGAAATAATTTTCCATCAGAATGATCAAACCATTGCTCCATTTCTAATTTCCAAGGTGGCTACTGAGCTAGCTAATGCCATTCTGAGTGTTGAAATTTTGTTTGTTCTATTCAGAAATTTTACAGTGATCAGCATTCCAGTGGTTCTACTTTCATGCAACGTGCTGTTTACTTGGTCAGGGAAATTTTAATCTTGGAACTGATGTTCATTTCTACTTTAAAAAAAATTATTTCTTTGATTTTCTATTTTCTGCTTACTACTTTCTCTCTTCTGGCACTCAGACTATTCTGATGTTAGATATCCTAGACTGGTTCTTTAATTTTTTAATCTTTTCTTTCTTGAAGTGTTCATATTTTTTTCTCTTTGCCTCATTTCCTGAAGATTTCCTCATTCTTCCCCTCCTACCCCTTTTTGAGTTTTTGATTGTGATATTTTAAATTTCTAAATTGAAATTATTTAATTTTTATTTCTTTCTTTTTAATGTAAATGTTATTTTTAATTTTTTCTTATTTTATGAATATGGTACCTTTTATTATCTCTCTGAAAATATTAATATTTTAAATACCTTCTTCACACTTAAAATTCCTTTTTTACTCTAATCTAAGAGGTTATGTAATATAGTTATTAGCACAGAGTCCAGTAACTAAGTAACTGCATTCAAGTCCTGACTCCACTACTTATTAATAATGTGACCTTGGGAAAGTTAACCCTTCAGAGCCTCAATTTCATTATCTGTAAATACTACAGATGATAGGGTTGTTCTGAATATTAAATGATTAATACATATAAAATGCTTAAAACAGTGCTTGGGATAAGGTAAGTCCTATATGTGTTGTGCTAAAGAGAAGTTTATCATTTCTTATTGTACTTGTCAGTTGTGGACTCTGCCATTCAGATATCATTTATTTAAATGTCTTCTGATCTGCAACTGTATGCTCTGGTCTAGAGCACTGGTAAGATGACCAGAAACTGCATGGTCAGGGTCTTACCATTTGCAGGCTTCACTATAGGTCATTACATTGGGGAACTCCGTCAATACCTTCATATCTTGGGTTTGTCAGGTTGCCTGCCTGAAGACTGCACCTTAAGGTAAGAAGGCTAAGGATTTCAATCTTCAGTGTAAAATTATACTTAAAGTTTTATATGTGGTATTTCCATCTACCACTATGCTTTAAGCTATTTGGTGAATAAGCTCCATAGTGTTCAGTCTACAGGAAATGAGCTAAATTAGATTGAATTTTGCTGTCTAAACTTTCTCTCTTAAATAAATTTCCTAATTTAGATTATGTATCAGCTTTCTCTATCACTGGCTTGAGAACCATATTCTCTGATCTGCTAACTTAGTAACCACTTGACCACAGCTTTCCAGCTGTCAATGTTTTTAATAGATGTGCTTTTATATCTTGTTATAAGTGCCTTTGCTATCTCTAAAAAAGAATTTTAGAAGAACTAAAGGTAAATGTGAGGGTTCAATTTACCATTTTTAACCAGAGCTGAAATGACTATTTAAGACAATGAAAAGCAATTATTAGCGAGAACAAAGTCTACTTATAACTAGACATTCAGCTCTATAAATTTCCTTTTTTTAAACAAGCATTGATATTTTGGGAATAGCACTTCTGAATAACTGTACCCACTTAAAATGTTCTCAATAAGACAGCAGAAACAAAATCTTAAGCTCTGAGTCTATACCACGGTGTTTACCCCTCTGCTTATCCTTCAATTGCCCAAGGCAGAAAATTCCCAGTAGTTCAAGTTTCAGCATCCACCACCAAGCAATGCCTTCTTCACTTGCATTGAAGTGTGTAAACATGCATAATGTTGACTATTTATGAGGTGTTATTTATCAAAAATTTTTGCCATCTTTCATGTAAATAGCCACCCCAAAATGATTTTTAAGAAGGAATATGTAATAGAACACAGAGAAACATCATCTTTAGAAATGATTCAGAAAAGCTTAGTGAGAAAGTTGGAAAGAGCAGCAGCCAGAGCATCCATTTTTGTCACATGTTACATGGAGACAGGAGGCTTGCTGTCAGGCTTGTATTTGCTATAAGCAACGTTGTGCTTTTATACAAAATGTTCATTATGATAATGGTCATTTCAAGAAATGCCTTTTTTTTCGTCTCATATCCCATTTTGGGGAAAATAATTAAAGGCATTAACTCGAGTAGGTGTATTTCTTTTATAAAATATGGTTTCAGCAACGTTGATTAATACTGGAAGTTTAACTGTTCATTTATTCTACTATTATTTTTTTTAATTACAATTAAGAAGAGACATTGTATTTCCTGTCTCCTTGGCTGTCACACTATAGGGTTTAAAACCACATAAAACATTACTATAACCTTATTTTCCTTTGGTACCATGGTGGCAGCATAATCTCTACTGCAGCAAAGCATCTAGTGGAAATCTGTAGCCACTCTGGTATTGGACCATCAAACTTACTAAACATACAAGGTGATGACAGCTTCTGCAACAGAACATCTAAATACTGAGTCAACTGAGCTTACCCTCTTTTGAAACGCTATGACATGTGATAGCAGATCTCAATGTCTCAAACAGTGCTAACATCAAAGAAACACAATGAAGAATTTAAGCCTATGAGGAATGCTAATGAGTGAAACATTTCTCCTCCTACCTATATTTATTCTTTTCTGTAAGGTTAGATTCTAGAATTATCAATGGATCATTTTTCTGTTGGTTGGTTTCTGAGACAGGATCTTGCCGTGTCATCCAGGCTGGCATACAGTGTCATCAACATAGCCCACCACAACCTCAAACGCCTGGGCTCAGGAGATCCTCCCACCTCAGTCTCCCAAATAGCTAAGACTACAGGTGCATGCCACTATACCCAGCTAATTATTTTAATTTATTAAAATTTAATTTTTGTAGAGATGGGTATTGCATTGTTACCCAGGCTGGTGCTGAACTCCTGGCTTCAAGAGATTGTCTTGCCTTGATTTTCCAAAGTGCTAGGATTATAGGCCTGAGCCACTATGCCCAGCAATCAGTAGTTGATATGGTATACCTTCTCTGAAAATTTCTGTGGACTTAATAATTAAAATTTCTCTTACTAAATTAAAAAAAATATATTCAGTTCTTAAACTTAAGTGGCCCCATGATGTTCCATATGCATTCAAATTTGAGGTAGCCAGCTAGGCACTGAGGCTCACACCTGTAATCCCAGCACTTTGGGAGGCAAAGGCAGGTGGATAACCTGAGATTGGGAGCTCAAGACCAGTCTGACCAACAATGTAGAATCCCATCTCTACTAAAAAATACAAAAATTAGCCAGGCATGGTAGCACATGCCTGTAATCCCAGCTACTCTGGAGGCTGACTCAGGAGAATCGCTTGAGCCCAGGAGGTGGAGGTTGTGGTGAGCCAAAATCATGCCATTGCACTGCAGCCTGGGCAACAAGAACGAAACTCCATCTAAAAAGAAAAAAAAAAAAAAATTTAAGGTACCCATGCTGAAAAAAATTTGATAAGTGAAACTATCTATTTATTCCTAAGATTCATATTGATTGAAAAATATCAAAATTGGATACTGATTGCTCATTACAATTTTAATTATAATTTATTTTAATTATATTTTTAAATTAAACTATTAAGGCAAATATATATATATATATATATATATATATATATATTTTTTTTTTTTTGAGCAAACTAGTTGATCTGGTAAGACTGCCTGTATAAATTTACCAATTCTAGAAAAACCATGTGTCCTCACTATTCAAGACAACTTACCCTTCTAATCTGTACATTAGGGCTTGATTTGAAGAGGAGTTTGGAATCTTAAGATTATGTCATCATTACAGAAAAATGAATTTAAATTATCTTATGTAGGCAACAATGTTTATTATAAAAGATCAGAATCGTAAATCACTGATTTCCCATTATTTTCTTTTCTTTCATTACATACAAGCTGTAAGACAGGAACAGGCCCTTGTTGTCTAGCCGAACAATAAGAGCATACGTCACATACTGCCTATTCACTGCCTATGCACTGTCTGATAAAGATTGAAATTGTGGAAGATGTCAATGGAAAGCAGGTCTAAAATTCTTCTGTAGAGGCTATTATTCAATACAAATGAAAAATGCAGAGTACTGTGCTCTGGGCTCTTTGGTCCATCCTGCTGAATTGAAAGGGAAAATTGAAAAGACTCAATTATTCTATTTATTACTTTGATGAGTTTTTATAACATAAAATGAATTTTGTGATTAATGAGGATTTTATGTGGACTGTACATAAAAAACTTCATCTACACAAAGCAAATAACATTATTTTCTGGCTAGTGAAGGTGAAAATGAAATGTAAAATAAAGTTGATTGACTTAAATTTAATATATAAAAGGTAGCACTAGTTAATAGAGTATTGATTAAAGATATTAAAAAAGATGATGACAATTTCTCAAATAGCCTTGTTCTAGGTCCTTAGGGTGTTTGCTTAATAAACATCTTTTCTTCTATCTGATCATATTTTCATATTACTTTTTTCACATTTTGTTTCGTTTTTTCCTGTGGACATATCAAAATCACATACCGCTGTTACAGTAATACATACTTAAACAAAAAATAAATTAATGTTTGGAAATCTTAGTTTATTTCAACATCAAAAATGGGATTAATCTTACAATAGAAGCAGGCACTGCAGGGTTGGGAATAAATGTAATTAAAACACATCAACCGGAGTTAATCAATTAACTCAGACAAAAAATTATTATTGAAAAATAGAGAAATGTATAATCATTATGTTTTAATATAATATTAATTTTGGTAACATTTTAAAATATAATTTATTTTAGGGGATATGTAAAATTTTTTGTATAATCCGTTTCTATCAAACTCTTGTATGTCAGATAATCTTTATGATATATAAAATTATAAAATAATTTTTTAAATCTTAGAAAAGTGCTTGGTTTTTTTAATTGAATTCATTCTCCCTTCCCCTTTACTAAATGTTCTATTCTTCACATAAAGACAACTTATACACACACACACACACACACACACACACACACACACGTTCGCACTTTCTATTCAATTCAACTCCTAGTAATGTGGAAGAGAAAAAAAAAATCCACACATGGTCTCTCCTCAGGCTTATGCAAAAATAATTATAATTCCCAATTCAAGAAATGACTTTCTTTATATGCAACAACTTGCCTCTTTATTTTCTTGTGGGACACAACACATTTAGTGATCAGTAAGTCTCCAATGATCACACTTTGCCTTTACGAGAATACCACATGAAGTGTATACAGTTCTGCAATGCACAAATATTGGAAGTGAAAGGAATACAAGGAAAATTTTCCTACTTCTATTAGAGCATTTGAGGCATTTTATTCTTTTTCTTGACCCACTGAAAAATTTTCCTAATGCCAATTTGAGCCTGTGCAAGAAATAAACAACCTCGTGAAATAAGTGCCCATCTGTCTTACTCCATATTCATTTATGACAAAATAAATGGACTCTGACTGAGCACAGGGTGAATGGTCAACTTAACAATCAATCTAGTGGGCAATCAGATCAGTTGTCAAAGATAAATCAAGTTAAAGTCATTAAATTCAAGAAATAATACATTAATAATTCTATTATATCCTACTTAATTTTCAAAGATATTTTTAATAGATAGGAACATAAAAATACAGTAATGCATTTTGTTTATTGATGGCAGAGAAAACAAAATTAATAGTTGCATTATTTCTGCTCAAAAATAAGATCCTACATAATTGAGAACATCTTAGAGTAAAGCTATAGTCTTCTCCTTGGAATGGCATAATAGGGAACTAAAAATACTTGCTGGACTAGTATTTTAAAGGAAAGTGCAACATTCTAGATTTGAATTGAAAAAACAAAACAACTTGGCACATGTTTTTGCTTCAAAGTTTTCACCTATGATTAAAAAATAAATTATAGCACATCTCTAGATGCTGATTTTCCATAGTCATGTATAGTCATTCTTGACCTATGAAAAGTCAACATCTAGAGATGTGCTATAATTTATAGCACATTCTCCCAAGATAATAAAAACTAATAGCATTGTGCTGGAATAATTTTGAACCCTCCTAAAGAAGCTACTGAATATAGCTGAGTATTACTATTCATCATAGCTATGCTCCAAATCAATATATTTGCACATTAATTTAGCTTAGCCTGAATTATTCTTGAAGATATATTTAAACAATTATGTGATTCTTCTGCATAGTTACGT